TGCAGTTGGAGGGTATCTGGTTGTGGTGTCAGAATACATTTGGAAAGACTGCAGTTGAATGAATGATGGAGAATGTGTTTTTTACTTTGGGTCACTTTTGTCTTGGTGAGAGACTGCCATTGAGCACCCCAATGGAACATTGGTGCAGATTGCAATCTCTGGGGAGCACTGGTTGGGTCTTTCCATGCCAGAGTGCATAAATAGCAGCATACACCCTAGTTTCCACTCAGAAATTGAACCTGCTCTTGGAGCTGCAGCCCATTGATTGGTAATGATCCTCTCTGGCATGTACATAAAGATACAAGATTCATGCACCACTCCATCATGATTTGGCAAACTGGATGTAGATTTACTCATGTATTTTCTGCCCAGACTTGCAGTTTGTATAATTTTGGGTTGTCTTCTTTGTAGGTTGGAAGTTCCTGTAAATCATAAGTTTGGATTGAGTCTGGTGTGGGGTAGCAACTTGGCCTATCACCAGTTTTTGGTGGCAGTGTATTTGGCTAGGGTCAAGTAAGCATCATATGGAATTCATCCTTTTGGTCTTGTGGCTACTGCTAGGGCTTCTGGGGTTACTGGTCTTGCATATACCTCTCCATTTTTCCTATTGCTGTTAGTGCATTTAATGCCTCTCTTTGTTTCACTTTATGATGTATAGGGGGATGGAGAGGTGAAGTTATAATTTGTTGATGCTACTAGGATTCTTCAGGCTTGCAACCATGCCTTCAAGTTCTCTCATTCTGGAAGATCCTTGTCCTCATCCTGTTGTCCCTTGAGATCCAGGCATCCCCTTATCTTTTCACCTTACACCCATCTTCCCACTCATATTGAGTGCTTTTGATGCATGGAGAGTGCCAGTGTCATGAACACCTATGTAACTTTTGCAGTATGAAATAATAACAGTCCAGTTATATATATGGAACCACACTTTTGTAATATTGTAATACATTCACCAAACAGTGTTGGGAAAATGATATGTTGAATTGAGTGCTGAGTAGGCATGTCGCCTGGCAGATTAAGTCAAAGCAGAAAGTCACCACATGGGGTGCTGGTAGCTGTAGGAAGTTGAGGGGCAATCAATCAGTATGGGTATATTCTTACCCATACTGTATTGATTGTAGGTAGGTCATACCATCACCCCATAGAATGTAGGTTCTGGTGGCAAACCATAACACTAGACCCCTGGCTGTCTTTAAGAAGACACCTAAAGTCAGTACCTGACTAACCAGGCTGTGGTTCGTACGTCAGGTTGCATGCGGCCAGCAGTAACAGCCTGGTTGATCAGACCCTGATCCACCATGAGGCCTGGTCTCAGACCGAGCTGCGGGGGCATTGACCCCCGAAATCCTCCAGGTAACTCCAGGTCCTAAACACATGCATCGCAGAGCACAGATCACTCAAAGAAGTCTTCACTCTGATGTACAATTTTATTATTACTTAAATATTTTCTTACTTTTATCATTCTTGTCTGTGTTTTCTTCAAACTTTTATATACCCTCCCACACTCTTACATTGAAAAACAGGGATGCCATCAGCAGTAAGAGAACACTGTTGTAATATTGTCATCCAAGATTATTCAACTTGCTGTCACCAGATATTGGAAGGATTGGAGGAATAGGTGTAGAGTTTAAGTGAAAACTGTGTTACTACTACTGCCAAGTACAAGATCAACCAGTTTGTGATGGATGTGTATTCCGGAGGGCCTCCAACAGCAACAGCCTGGTTGAATAGGCAATCTGCAGTAAAGTGAAAAAATCAAAGCTCGTCATAAGTACTATATATATCACATTCATCTATGACCCCTCTGCCAATTCTTTTCCAGATCTCCTAAAGTGCTGCCATTTTCAAAGAGCAACTATTACAGCTCTTACTTTACTTGAGTTTTGTTATCCTTCAGGCCCATGCCTTTTCAGCAACACACTAGCATGTACTGTTTACAACCCTGTCTAAAACATAGAAAAACATGGTGACATCACATCCTTATCTAAGGTCTACACTTACTAAAAATCAGTCTCTTTCAATTTTCATACCCTAATAAGAGTCTCAGTCACATAAAAAGTCTAGAGCTTCCTACAATAAATATATCCACCAGTCCTTGTAATCTAAGAACTAAAATATTTTAAGTGATGTGTGTATTGTATATACCAACAACTTGTTCCACCATATATACCAACAACCTGTCCCACCATATGTACCAGCAACCTGTTCCACTATATGCATCAACAACCTGTCCCACCATATGTACCAGCAACTTGTTTCACCATATGTACCAGGAACCTGTTTCACCATATGTACCAGCAACCTGTTCCACCATATGTACCAGCAACCTGTTTCATTGTATGTACCAGCAACCTGTTCCACCATATGTACCAACAACCTGTTTCACCCTATGTACCAGCAACCTGTTCCACCATATGTACCAGCAACCTGTTTCACCATATGTACCAGCAACCTGTTTCACCATATGTACCAGCAACCTGTTTCACCATATGTACCAGCAACCTGTTTCACCAGATGTACCAGCAATCTGTTCCACCATATGTACCAGCAACCTGTTCCACCATATGTACCAGCAACCTGTTCCACCATATGTACCAGCAACCTGTTCCACCATATGTACCAGCAACCTGTTCCACCTTATGTACCAGCAACCCATTTCACCATATGTGCCAACAACCTGTTCCACCATATGTACCAGCAACCTGTTCCACCATATGTACCACCAACCTGTTCCACCATATGTACCACCAACCTGTTCCACCATATTTACCAGCAACCCATTTCACCATATGTGCAAACAACCTGTTCCACCATATGTAACAGCAACCTGTTCCACCATATGTACCAGCAACCCATTTCACCATATGTGCCAACAACCTGTTCCACCATATGTTTGCAACACGTGCCACATTGCTGCCTCTTTTTCCACTGTATTTGTCTTTATATGAGTAACAATAGATTCCTTACTTTTCATCTTAAGCATTGCTCGCCTGTATGCTTTAATGCAAATACGTATTTGATTTACACACCCCTCTCTCCTCTGAAAATCTGCTATGTTCCTCTGCCACCCTTTTTTTTTTTTGTATTTTATTTTCTCTAATTCAGTAACTATTTTGACATACACTTGGCTAAGCATAGTACAGTAAACTCAAGTGAATTATTTTTCTAAAATTTTTACATTTGTTTTTCCCTTTTACAAAGGAATTATACATGCTTCTTGCTAGTCCTTAGGAGCCTACTTGGCATTCAAACATAACAAATTCACCAACCATTCTTGAACTACTGGTATATATTCACCTTCTTTCAGCATATCAGAGTTTGTGTGTTGAATCCTCACTACTTTATCCCCTGCCCTTCCAGCCTGGCCACTGCCTCACCCACTTTGTTCACATTCATCTCTGACTCTCTGTTCATAACAGATTGTATGCCTTCTGCCTCCTGCATGACACCACTTCATTTTTTCATGGACAATTGGCTACTCAATTTTTTCTCTCTCTGTCTCTCTCCAGTTGTTGGCCTTTCCTTAGTTTTATGAACATGTAAGATGGGAGGTAAAAATTGCAAACTATTTCTTACATTCACTATACATTGTGCCTTAATGTGCTTCTTAATACAGTAGTAATTAATCTTGTAATATCTCCTTTACAATTAAGGCAGCCTGGTCTGAGACCAGGCCATGGGGGCAGTGATCCCTGAAATAGTTAACTGATAAGATACTAATAGATAATCTCTACTTCCCCATCTAACTTCTTATCACTTTGATTTTAAATTACCATGTCCATCATCCCCTCCATCATCCTTTACCTACCTATATAACCTAGTGCATCTTAACCCCTTACCTACCCTACCAGACTCTACCCTACCTTGTCCAGCCTATGTAATCTACCTGACCCAACACTACCCTACCATAACAGACCTGACCCTACCCTAACAAACCCGACCCTACCCTACCCTACCAGACGAGATGAGACCCAACCCAACCCTACCAGATGAGACCAGACCTAACCTACCTACATAACCTAACTTAACCTACCCAACCCACCCTACCTACCAGCCCATCCAGGTACTTCCCTCTTAGTTACATATGCTATAACTGCTCAACTCTAATTTTTAGACCACATGACTCTTGGACTCAACTTTTGTACCACTTCCTTTCCTTCCATAATAGATCATTGAACATTACTGCTATTCCTTCTTTAGCTCTCATTCTCTTACACTCCTTCCCATCCAAATTATTTCCTTCCCCTTCTTCTTTTAAATGTTCTTGTTAGGACAGTGAGCCTCCTTTCATTTATAACATTATCATTTGCTTCTTTCATAACATCCCTACTTCATACATCCCAACATCAAAATTTCATTTCTCTTTGGTAATTTTATATAGGAAAATTGGGTTACTAGGCCCCTTGCTCCCATGTATTTTAGTTGCATTCTATGCCACAGGCATAGCATGACCCCTATAAGTTTAGTGCTGTGCCATAGAGGTTTTTATAACTGTGCCATTCATCCCTGAGAAGGCAAGAATTCTAATCCACTTTCATGTGAAATGGGTGAGGAAACAAAAGTATTAAAAGTTTCAAGAAATACCTTGGGATGTTAAAAGAAGTGTATACTGAATGTAAGTAGAAGTTTGTGAGATTTACCTAGTCATCTGATATGCTTATGAAACAGATAGAAATATACAGCAATCTTGTTACAGTGCAAAACATTTACCTGGCCTCTGTTTCACACTTGTAACAAGACAGTATTATCTCCCTGAGTGGTTACTGTGTACTGATGTACTATATGTACTTCCCTCTATATTTATTCTATTTTATAACCAGTTCGTAATTAGCTGAACTTTTTCAAGCATTGTAATATATTTAACTAAAAAATGATGGTGATTACTTTTCTTTTTTAAAATGTTTTTAATAAAATAAAATCTGTTTATGTATACATGTATTATAGGAAATCTAGCAACAAAAGCTAACTCTAATTCAACATACTTTGACTTACATCAACAGAACCGAATGGAGGAATCCAAGGCCCTCTTCAAGACTATCATCACCTACCCTTGGTTCCAGCACTCTTCTGTTATCCTTTTCCTTAATAAGAAGGATCTGTTAGAAGAGAAGATTATGTATTCACATCTTGTGGACTATTTTCCAGAATATGATGGTGAGTTCAGTTGGAGTAAAAATTTGATATGGAAAATGGGCTTTCAGAATAAGCCTTCTGTACAGTTGTCCTTACAAATATGCTTGAGCTGTGTTCCTAAAGGTCTCAAGGAACTTTAAACTGAAAATAATAACCATAAATGTCTGCATGACAATTTTTGTTTCAGATTCAGTTTTGTGTTTCAAAACTTAATAGCTCGGTAATGCTGTGTATCACTCAAATCTTTTTAATTTTGATGTTCGTGAGAAATAATGAACAGAATAAGAGAGATTTAATCATGGCAAAGCCATTGAATTAGATCATGTTACATAATTTTATCTTTTTGCAAAGTCCCTACTATAATACACTATAATAGATGCTGATAGTAAACTGTTAATTTATTATAATCCTCAGGAGAGAAACAGGATCATATTGGGGCACGTGAATTCATTCTCAAGATTTATCTAGCCCAAAATCCAGATCCCGACAGAATGTGTTACTCTCATTTTACGTGTGCTACAGGTCGGTCGGATTATAAGAATTTCAGCTAGCAGGTCATATAGTATTGCAGATGGTAAAATAATTTTGCTTTACTGTAATTTGCACCTCTTGTACTGTATTAGTTGCAGATTATTTGAAAGTAGAATGGGATATTGAAAGATATATGAACATTAATTGTGTAAAATTATGGCATTGGGAACGCAGTCCCAATATCGATGCTATATTTTACCTTGATAGATAACTATATTTTGTTTATACCCAAAAGAACATAGTGACAAGTAATAATAGTAATTCTTTTTTATTTAACACATCAGAATTGCTAACCATATTTTATATGGAATAATTTGCTATGTATTTATGGTATTGTACCATGAAGAGGGAATTAACATACAGTGGTAGGACCTGCTCGTCATGGGTAATCTAATAGTATACATATTGCAGAAAGTGGCAAGTACTGTAGGCAGTAGATATCAAGTGCTTTTGTGAAAACAGCAATAATTAATATGAATGTAAATCTTGTAATTGTAGCACAGTACTATTGGCATGCCCCTGACAAGACAATGATGGAGTGAGTGATGATGAAAGTCTTTCTTTCTTCTTTTTTGGGTCACCCTGCCTCAGTGGGAAACAGCCAATGTGTTAAAAAAAAGTACCACATCCCTGAAGTAGGAAATAAGTCTTTAACTTACATTTATTGCATCTATAATATTTTTAATTTTATCCAATCACTGGTATTTAAATTTTAATTGATATCAAAATGATACATGGAGATTCTATTTGACACTGTGGCAAGCCTGTGCTACTATATGCATGTTCTCTGGACATACCTACTTCTTCAGGCTTTTTCACCTTTGGATCATTTACAACTCATACTTAGTTTAATATACTTTTTCTGCACCCAGTCCTCTTTTATGTATGAATGAAAAAAAGTAGAAAATATTTGATATGTTTGTTTTACTTAGAATTTTTTTTATCTTTAGAATTTTTTTTATATTTCTGTCCCATCTTTCATTTAGCAACTCCTTTTATATCTCATGTTCAAAATAGGGTGATTGTTGCAGACCTATGCATCTGCTCATCAGACTTCAGAAATATTTAGTTATCAAATTTACTGAGTTACTTGGCAAGGGAAAGGTACTACTAATTATTTGATATTAATGCATAGAAGAAATTACACAATACTTGACTAACCACTCTAAACACGTGAGGAGAACACACTACTACACAATCCAGCATTAAAAGGGCACAAACAAGAGCTTACAGTAGGCCCTGGATTTTGGTAGGTCCCACTATTATTGCAGATCACTTTTTCATACGCTTCCTAATGACAACTCAGGTGTAAAGTACTCTACATTTTTTTTATTAATTATTTTTTATGCCAAATGGCATACTGGTTATTATATACTTATTTTTTTTGCCTGTGGTTTGGCTGGTCAAATCTCCTTTCCGTTTTATCTTATTTCTTCAGAGCTTGGGAACAATCTGCTTGTTTCTCTCTCTACTGTATTTCAGTTTTTATATGATTTGAATTTTAGTGCAGAATTGCCTTCTTTCATTTTATTTAAACTCTGAAGACCAGTAATTACTGGAGAAGGTTAACTTAGTGTTCTCCAACAGTCCTTACACCTTACTTTTGGTTACCCATGATAACCAACATTTCCATAAGTGAGTGTAGTACAAGGATTACCCTTTCAATTTAAGTCTTTTTTCTTTTCCTTAACCCTTTGACTGTTTCAGTCGTGTATATACGTCTTACGAGGTACCGTCTTTGACGTATATATACTCATAAATTTTAGCGGCTTCAAATCAAGCAGGAGAAAGCTGGTAGGCCCACATGTGAGAGAATGGGTATGTGTGGTCAGTGTGCACCATATAAAAAAAATCCTGGAGCACGCAGAGCATAATGAGAAAAAAAAAAAAAACTGGCCGTGTTTTTTTTTTTTTTTTTTTTAATTAAAATGCCGACTTTGGAGTCTATTTTCGTATAGTATTTATGGTTGTATTCTCGTTTTCTTGGTCTCATTTCATAGAATGGAAAACATATTATAGAAATAGAGGTGATTTTGATTGGTTTTATTATAAAGAGAACCTGGAAATGGAGCTCAAAGTAGGGGAAATGTTTGATTTTTGCCGATGTTCAAAAGTAAACAAATGATGTCATTGTCCAATAAATGTCCAACTAGCCATTCTGATATGCAGTCATGAATGGGTTGACATTATTTGTACAGTTATTACAGTATTGCAGTAGTCTGCATAACAGTAAATCTTCTATTTTTTTGTCTGAATAAAAATTCAAAATAGAAAGCAAGAGTAATTTCAGAGGGGCCTGGAGATGTGACTGATGAACAAAGAACATGTTATTTTAGAACCAGGAATGTCTACATTGTTCATTCTGGACCTTATTTTGAAATTGTCATATTTTTTAATTTTCGTGAAATTGGCCAAATTGCAAATTTCTGACCACGTTATTGGGTAGTTGAAATCGGTTAATGGGCAATTTCTTGTACTCAATCGATAGAAAAAATGGAGTTCTAAAGAAATAGCCATGAGTTTGGTCGACTGGAACAATGGAATTAGCCGAAAATAGGGCTCAAAGTGGGCGAAATTGCCGATTTGTAAATATCGCCGAGGTCGCTAACTTCGTGAGAGCATAATTCCATCAGTTTTCCATCAAATTTCGTTTTTTTGGTGTCATTACAATCAGGAAAAGATTCTCTATCATTTCGTAAGTTTTTTTTTTTTCTACGCCAGGAGATACCTCAGGATTGGGGGTTGTGATTACAATTTTCACTTTGCAAACATTCATTCCTTGATGTAACCCTGTTGCAATGAGTGCTGAAGGTGCACTGTGCACCCTTGATGTCTATAGCCACAAAAAACATAAAAGTGTGACATTAGAAACAAAACTAGAAGTTTTAAAGAGGTTTGATGATGAACAGTGAGGTGTGGTTTTGTTATGTTGTTTCGTTTAAATCTCGGTTTCCAAGAACCTGTCAGTGATATTAAGTGAGGACTTACTGTATATGATTGAGCTATTTTCCTTCATCAGTCTAAGGTTTAAAGAGGCAACCCCAAATGCTAGTGCTCATACATTTCAAATTCAAATACAATAGTTATTTGCTGTTTGGAGTGACATCTGTGTGCCTCTGCAAAGACAGTGATTATGTGTGAATGATGGTGAAAGTGTTTCTTTTTGGGTCACCCTGCCTCAGTGTGAGATGGCCAGCATGTTGAAAAAAAAATATATGTACACAAGTAATACAAATGGGTAATTTCACTCACATCATGTCTTCTCTATGTGTATTCCATAATTTTATATGAAGTGGGGGGCTAGTAACCCCTTCTCCTGTATGAATTCACAAATTTAAAAAGAAAAACTTAGTTTTTCTTCTTAAATAAGGGTGCCCTAAAAAGAAAAACTTGGTTTTTCTTGTTAAGTTACCCTACCTCAGTGGGATGCAGTCGGTTTATTGGAAAAAAAAATTATGACGTCAGGCTTATTTTTTCTAATTGTAAGTCAAATTTTGTGATCAAAAATATCAGGTTATTTCGATGATTTTTTTCAGGGCTTTTTATGTGATGCAAGTTTTCATTGTCTTAATACAGATCTTTACTAGATATTGTACGTGTAGAATATACATGTGCCCCATCATAAATTGTACAAGTAGCTGTAGCTAGCTCAATTCCTTTCAGGCCCAAGGAAGGATGCCATTGCAGCGCGAGAGTTCATCCTACGGATGTTTGTAGAATTAAATCCTGACCCTGAGAAGATAATCTATTCCCATTTCACATGCGCGACAGGTAAAGAGCATTACCCATGATCATGGCATGACCTCCCCGTCTTCACTGCGCATTTCCTAACAAATTTTCTGGGATTAAGTTGAATTTTGCCAGGTCATCCAACTAACTTATGCGCGAGTTTGAAACTCGGCACATAGTACATATCTTCTTAAGTCCTAGATCTTCTTGAATGGTTTGTAAACTTGGACTTAAGAAGTTGAAAAGGAAAGGTGATTGTTTTGTAGTAAACATATTTGCAAGACAAACACCTGTACTCATTCACATTTTTTATATATATATCTATCTATATATATATATATATATATATTATATATATATATATATATATATATATATATATATATATATATATATATATATATATATTCTGTTATAAACATTGTTCAAATGCAAGCTAATGTTTCATTTTTTTCTTTGCATGCTGCATATGGCTTTTCATCCCATGCATGTTGGATATTCCTGCATGTCTTTATGATGTGTTCCCTTATTGTTCTTCATGGATTCAATTTTATCAATACATCATTGTCTTTATTCTTATGGCTTAAATGTTTATCATATTGCTTTTAAAAAAAATGGAAAATTTATGAAATTAAAATTTACAATGGTAATTTCTATCATTGTAAATATAATGTGGTAAATCTCAAACACAATGCTTGCCCATATATTTTTTTTATGTTTAAATATATTATAACAATATTAAATCAATATGTCAAACAACTCTCATAATATCCTTCACTAAAATTTACTTACGTAAGTTTGTTTGTACAATATGCAGACACTGAAAATATCAAGCTAGTGTTCTGTGCTGTGAAAGACACTATCATGCAGAATGCTCTCAAAGAGTACAACCTTGCCTAATGTTATATCTACCTTCTTCCCTCTTTTCATCAACTTTTTCAAGGTGATTGTGTTTATCCTGACACAAGTTGCAATGCAGTAATTAATTTAAATTTATTGGTAATACTTTTGTCATTCTTCTGTGGAAGATTTGAGTTGTTTGACTTACAAGGATCAGAACTGTTCGGTTATTAAGGCATTAATTAGATAGTTATTTGTTGACATTGAAAATAAAGTAGGTGGGAAGTTATTAAAAGTAGAAATGAGTTTTTGAGAAAATTAAGTCTCAGTTTATGATATGTTGGAGATAAAGGGAGTGTTTTACAGTAAAGGTAGACCTTATACATGAATGTGGTTTTTAATGGAAAAGGTCATAAATGAAAGGAATGTTAGAATGTTGGGAGGTGCAGTCTTAATTAAAAGATAATGAAAATGGCATAAAGTGAGAGAGTAGTCACAGTTACTCTTTGTTGATAACATTACTTTGTGAGATTCAGAAGAGAAGTTGCAGAGGCTGATGGAGTAGTAGGGTGGTAATTGAAAGTAAATTAGAAAAGAGCAAGGCGATGAAAAGTAACATTGGTCTTGGAAATAAGAGATTAAATGTCATACTGGAGAAAGAGAGCATGGAGAAAGTGAATATGTTTATATATTTAGAGGTGTGTAGGCAAATGGGTCTATGATCAATGATGAATCATAGAATAGACACTGTAAAGAAAGTTAGGAGTCTTGAAATAAAAAGATCTCGGTGGTTGCCAATACTTTTGTATGGGTGTGAGGCATGGTCCTTAAATGTTGTAGTGAGGATGAAACTGGAGGCAGTGGAGATACCATGTTTGAGATCAGTGTGGTGTGAGTATCATGCAGAGAATAAGGTTGAAGAAATTATTAGATGGTTTGGGGATATGACAGTAAAAATTCAGAGAGCAAAGGAGAGGTTGTCAAAATGGCTTGATCTTCAGAAAGGATGGAGCAGGATAGGTTGACTAAGAGGCTATATAACTAGGATGGCTGGAAAATTATATGGAGGATGTCTTAGGAAGAGTTTGAGGAGGGGGTGAAGGAGATTTTGAGTGGTAGAGACTTGAGTATCCAGCAGGCATCTCTGAACATGTTGTATTTGACATGCTGATGGAGTGTTTGCAAGCTAACATTTGTGAAGGTATTTAGGGACATCATGTATCCAGACTTTTTCTGGAGGTGGAATGTACAGTGCCTGCACTCTAAAGGACAGTTATGGATTTTTGTCTTGGATGGTATTTGAATTGTTATGTATATATATCTGGTGATTGAGTTTTCTTTTTGAGTCACTCTGCATTGGTGAGAAACAGCTGATGTATATTGTATACATATATTCGAGATGCTATCAAAAAGTTTCTGTACTCTAATTTTTGTGTGCTTCCTGGGTGAAATATGGCAGAAGCATAATGCATGCTGTGCAGTACACTCTTTGTCAAGTAGCATGGCAAGTTTTAGTGAGGTAAGTTATTCCATTGAGGTTAGATGACCATTTTCTTGTAGTGTTGTTAGTGTCCCATTGTGATTTTTTGTGTAACAGAATGGCATCTTTTAAAGAAAGAACAGCATGTGTGTATGAAATTGTTTCAAGCTCAGTAAAACTGCTGGTGAAATTCAAAATGCTAAAGCCAGCATGTGGCAGCATAGCAATGCATTGGTCAAGCACAGTGTTTTGAATGGTTTTCTTGATTCAAAGCAGGATAAACGTCAGTTGAGGATGGTAAATACATAGGTCATTCATCAATATCAAAAAGTAAGGAAGGCTTTTCATGAAGAATGTCATCAGTGTCCAATACTTTAAAAGCACTGTGGGAATTTCTTATAGGTCATGTCAAAACATTTTCACTTAAAATTTGAACACTAGGTGAGTGGCTGAAAATTTTGTGTCCTGCTTGCTGACTCAAGACCAGAAAGACCATTGTTTTCTGACCAAAAACATGGTGGTCATCCCCCCACCCTCTCTACTTCCCAGATCTATCCCCCTGTGACTTCTTTCTCTTCCCAAAAATAAAAATGGCATTCAGGGGACAGTTTTTTAACAACATGGAGGAGATTCAGGCAGAATCATAGGCCTCGCTAGACGGCATTAAGAAAGGAGAGTTCCAGCAATGTTTTGAGAAGTGGCAGAGGCACTGGGATCAGTGCATAGCTTCCCAGGGAGAGTACTTTGAGGAAGACAACTTCAACTAGGTGATCAGGCAAACCTTTATTGGTCTTTTCATAGCAGTCCAGGAACTTTTTGATAGCACCTTGCACATCTCCACCGTTTCTTCAGAGTTCAGGCACTATCTTTCACACCTCCAGACTCAGGTTCGGCTAATCAGTGTCCTTCAGTTGCACTGTATATAAAATTGTTCTTAGACCAACGATAAAATGAGTATATAGGCCAAATTGCAGTTTTACCTCTTGTTTTGTGTTCAGATTTTATTTTTGTTATTCTTGTCATATTGGTAATAACCCTGGGGAGCTTATTAGGATTAGTTTAATAGGTTATGAACATTGAATTATTCATTGCATGTATAGAGCATTGTTTCTTATTTGTTTTTAATATATGTATAACACATCCATTGTACTCTACCTGACTGTCTTGGATAATTTGTAAGACTTGGTTCTTTGGCCCATAGCACATGTAGACATGCATGCATTGGTAATCACATTTACATATGCACATCCATGCATACATGTATGTGTGCATATTCATGTGATAGTGCAACCATTATTAACAAAGATTTGAGCCCAGTGTTATTGTGCCCTATCACATGGCCTCTTCAGCTGGAATAAACAGGAATGAGAAGCATCTCTAAGATGTGGAACCAGACATCCAATTGAGACATGATATCAAAGAGTGACCAGATTCCCAAGTGTTTTAAGGAGATTGCCACTGACTTGAATTAATTAATATGTTGAGATTTAAATGCCCATTTAACAAGTTGAAGTTCAGTTTGATGCAATAAGGTATGATTCAACAGTTCACTTCAGTTATCAGATTTAAACACTGGTTTGCAATTACCAAAGTACATTTTATGGTCATAGTCAAGCACATGACAGAACATAGCACCGTTTGCATACACACTTATTATTACCCACTTTTTTGCATCCGACCCTTATTTTAATCCACATAATCCTGAACTTATACATTAATATTCCCTCTTCTTCCATAACTGATCCTTCAACATTATTGCTACCCCTTCCTTAGCTCTAACTCTCTCAGATACTCCCGACTTAATCCCATTTATTTCTCCCCACTGAAACTCGCCTACACCCTTCAGCTTTGTTTCGTTTATAGTGATACAAAGCTGAAGCATATCTCGGCTAAATTCAGAGATGATAACTTCTTGGATAAAAATCAAGTTTCATTGTATTCTTTAAACAGATAAGCCAGGAGTGCTGGTGTGTGTGTTTTAAATATGCAAGGTAAATGTTACAAATGTCTGCTTACATTCACTGTAAACTAATCTATATTTGTTTTTAAACAAAATTGCTGCTACCGTATTCCCTAAGATAATTACGCAGTGGGAGCAAAAGTCAACCTGTGTTTCTTAATAGTTCATATTTCTGTAATAACCCTTTCTCCTGTGTAAATTGCTAAATTTAAAAAAAAAATAATTTTTCTTTTTAGGTTACCCAGCCTGGTGGAATATGGCTAGTTTGTTGAAAAAAAAAAACTGTAATATTTCCTTTATAATTTAGAAGGCCTCGTCAGAGACTGTGTTGAAAGGAGCTGTAATCATAGAACTATTAATAGATATAACAAATATTGAGGTATAGTAGGTTTGCCTATAAAAAGCATCACTAACCCTTTCACTGTCTTGTATGTAGATTTACATCACCTGACACTGGTGGTGCTTGTGTAAATCATGTTTTAAGCACATCTCTCTCAAAATATGTTATGATTGCAAATTTTGTTCTAGACATGAGAGAATGGGTTTGCAGTGAGTGTGCACAGTGTAAAAAAAAAAAAAAAAAAAAAAAAAAAGTCTTGCCCCACACAGTGCATGATAGGAAAAGCTAACCTCTGACATGTGTTTGGCCAAATAACAACTGTGAGGTCTTTTCTGGAGAGGTTTTTTAGTTTTATTGACTGTTTCTTGGTATGAATTGATAGAATGGAAGACGTATTAGTGAAATAGTAGTGATTTGGGTCAGTTTCAGACTGGAAATAGCTGGAAAATGGGCTTAAAGTGGTAGAGCTGTTCGATTTTGGGGGATTTTCTGAGGAATGTTAGGTTCCACTCTAGTTTGTTTTATGGGTTTTTACTAGATGTGCTTCAATTATTGGGACAGCCTAAACAATGACCAATCATTTTGGTTATATTTTATTATCTGAGAAATAAGTTAAAGCTTCCACATTTGTGTGATAATGGATTCAAAATGGAGGGAAAGTAATATGTAGGAGAGTCCTAGGGATGTGATTAATGACCAGAGGAAAGGTTGCTTTAGTGGCTGAAATGCCTGCAGTGTTTATTTTACTCTTTTTTTTTTTTTTTTTAAATTGAAATTTGTTGAATTATTGTGTAAAATTGGCCAGATTAATTAATTTTGTGTGCATTATAAGCTAGTTTTGATAGTTACGTGGGCATTTTTTTGTGTTTGGTCGATAGAAAGTAAGACATACCAATGAAATAAGTAGGAATTGGATCAAATAAACCATTGTAATTGGCTTAAAATAGGACTCAGAATGGTCAAGATTGCAGTTGTGTAAGTCATGCCTAGAATGCTACTTGTGCCTACATACTTTCATAAGTTTTCTATCAAATTTCACATTTTCATTGTCATTACCTTCAAAAAAATAGATTCTCTACTATTTCCAATTTTTTTTTTTTTCTAAATTGTAACACCATCAGCACTTTTAATTTTATGGTTCACAGCCATGAAAGGGAAATAAATGTTTATACACAGATGTCTGTAATTGCAAACTAGTGTTTATATATGATATTGATATAAAAAGTGGACTTGTTGTACCAATTCCATGTTGTACTCTAGTAAATCTGAAAGTCAGTGTAATTTCAACACAGTAATTTACCCTTGGATATGTGGTAATCTCCAAAAAATAAAGTTGTCATGTGACATGGTAATCATTCTTCGAATGGATGTCCAGTAACTGTCCCTTCTCATTCCAGCTGAAGAGGTCCTGTGATATGGTGTAATGCTACTGGGTTCAGATTTTTGTCAATAGTGGTTTTAACTATTATGTACTGTCGTATCATTGTAAAATTATTCAGATAAACATGTAAGTTGAAAGATAACTTTTACAAACTATTATATCCGGTATACACTTTACTTTCCTATGTATTTCGTACAGGTTCTCATTACTGTAGTGTTTCCTTTCCAATTTATGAATCTGGTTTGAGATCATGCAGTGTAGATGATTATTCCCAGAATGTCTAACAAATATAACTCCCTACATATGTACAGGCAGGCCTCGCTTAAACAGCAGGTTAGGTTCTGGGCTACTGCTCTAAGGCAAAAATCACTGTAAAGTGAAATATAGCCCTTTTTTTTTTTTTTTAACTATCAAATGCATATAAAAACCTGATAATGTTTACACTTCTGTATATTATGTGAGCAGTAGAATTAGGTTTAAAAAATGCATATACAGGATACATATTACTTACCTTAAAACCCCTTAAGTGTCAGTTCTGTAAAATTACGGCTTTGAAGCCAGTGTCAATCTTGTAATAAAATGCCAAAATTCTAGCAGCTTCAGATCTTACGAGACAAGGCGGGTAGGCCTACATATCAGAGAATGGGTCTGCGTGGTCACTGTGTGCAGTATTAAAAAATCCTGCAGCAAGCAGTGCATGATGAGAAAAAACTGCGACTGTGTTTTTGGTTTAAAACCGCAACTGTGCGGTGTATTTTTGTATGGTATTTATGGCTGTATGATAGAATGGAAGATATATTACAGAAATAGAGTTGATTTTGAATGGTTTATCGACAAGTAGCTTGAAACTGAGCTCAAAGTAGCGGGAATGTTAGATTTTTGACGATGTTCAGGAGTAAACAAAACATGTCACAGGTCCAGTACACGTCAACTGGTGGGTCTAATATGCATTCACAAATGCACTGATATTATTTATACAATTATTACAATATGAAGTAGTTTGAATAACAGTAAATCATCTGTTTTTTTGCGCGAGTAAAAATTCAAAATGAAAAGCAAGCGTATGTAAGATGGGCCTTTAGACGTGACTAATGAACAGAAAAAATATTATTTTAGTATCAGGAATGTCTGCATTGTTTATTCTGGCCCTATTTTAAAACTGGCCTCTCTTGAATTTTGTGTGAAATTGGCCAAATTAGTAATTTCTGATCACTATTTTGTGTAAATTAAAAGGACTCAAGTGCAACTAAAACATTGTCACAATAAAATGTCACATTAGTTGCACTTGTGTCCTTTAACCTAACACATTGTTGGTAATTCTACCAACATATATACTTTTTGTGTCGGTGAAATAGGTAAATGGTTGGTTTTTTGTAAAAAGAAGTCTAGTGAAATAGCTATGAGTTTGGTCGAGTGGAACAAAGGAATCAGTCCAAAATAGGGCTCAAAGTGGGTGTAATCGCCGATGCGTAAATATTGCAGAGACCGCTAACTTTGCAAGAGCGTAATTTCGTAAGTTTTCCACCAAATTTTGAACTTTAGGTTTCATTACCTTTGGAAAGAGATTATCTTTTCATGTTTTTTTTTTTTCCAACACTGTGAGCCAGTTTGCAAGCAGGGGTCTCGACACTCAAGGGTTAATATTCTGGTCCTTGGATTATAGTGAGTGGTAAATATATTTATTGTAGGAAGTCTAAATAAATGAAGAATAGGTATAATTAAAAACCACTGTATTAATGAAAGGCTATAAAATGAAGCTGTGTGAAGCAGGCCTGCCTATATAGTTTTACATACATTATACCAATGCACATACAGCATACACAATGCTTAAACATGTATGCACATGTACTCTCCAATTAGTTGAATATATGAACATACAAGTATGTGTGCTTCACATACATACATAAAGTATAAAAGCATTTACACATTATTTTTTTGATTTCACACCATACTTTCTTTGTTGCAGACACTGAGAACATAAGGTTCGTCTTCGCTGCTGTAAAAGATACGATCCTGCAGCTAAATCTAAAAGAATACAACCTGGTGTAACGATGAGCTATGCCCAGCTGGCTGAGTGTGTACACTAGGTGAAGTGACAGCATATCCCCTTCTCCAATAAGGGGCTGTCGGCTAAGGGTATCACTTCATCACCCTTACATGGACGTTATAACAAGTTCTGTAAACAAGGCAGTCACATTTGCATCTACAAAGTCATATTCAGTGTCCCAAGAAATAAAGGCTCTGTGCTTTTATTTTTTTGTTTATTTATACTTTTTTTATAACATTTCCAAAGATTGTGTGGGCCTTGATATTACTTCCAAGCCAAGCTATCCTTTTTGGGACAGCTTTAACTGTTTGCAAATAGCCTAATTAGGTGATGTTTTGATGCCATATGGCCTTGAAACTTTCAGATATGTAGTTCCAATTCATGTCATGTACGCCATTTCCAGTCTTAAGTTGCGTACAGTGTCTGTTAATCCAAAGTCTTACACACCTGGACGGGGTAAATGAATTAGTCCAATGCCATGACTAGTTCCATATGACTGTTAAAGTGCTGCCAGAATGGCTGCCCCTACCCTCGTCCTGTGCTCATTACCAACGCTGCCAACGAGCCTAGTGCTCACTGGTCGTAAAGGTGCTCCTTAAGCCCCAGTTCACATGTGTGGATGTGTGTGTTGATTAAGACACAGCCAGCTGCTGCTACATGTACATAACTTGGAGCTGATGCTAGTATGTATGCTGATGAACATCATAGGTGAACTGACACACTCCACAACTAACGAAGTACTGCTCCAACCAATTTTTCTTTCCTTTACAAGAAAGTTTGCTTGCCTTGCAGGTGATTGTTAGGATGTTTTGTGTTGGTGACTTTTGTATATTACACATAAAAACATTATGTGGTCTAACGTTCATCTTTAGTGTGTGATATTCTGTAGTTGATAATGAGTGGAGATATCCATTATGTATAGGCCTGCAAAGTTTCCTGGGGGTTAAAGAAGAAATTAGTGTTGGCTACCAAAACTTTATGCACCTCCAATGTTATGCATCTGAATGCAAAGTGTTCAGAGCACTGAAACCAACTCTGATGTAGCAGTCAAATACAGTGAGTCCTATGGCGTCCAAAGTGTGAAAAATACAGTACTGTACATGAGTATGAATGGATAGGACAAGAGAAAAGAGATTACAAAGTAGAATATCTGCAGTGACAAGAAATAAGTACTACAGTGCTCTGCAACTACTGCCCTGTTAATAAAATCTGAATAATTCAGATTTACTGTATTAATTGCTGCTGTACATTGGAACTGTGTCTATCCCTGCATGGGCATAAGTGCTTGTGATATGTTGGTGGTAGCAAACATGGCTTTTACATGTCTCATAAGGTAACCTTTCCTATCTGATGAAGGCCAAATCAGGTACTGACAATACCCACAAAGTGACACAGAAGTTAATAGGCGAGGTGCTACAGACTACAAGCTCTGAAATATCAACTGTTGCCTCGAAAAGTGCAATTCAAAGTTAGCTAACTCGGAGCTGAGACTTAAGACTCTTGTGGCTTATGCGAAAGTGAGCCTAGACCGGTATTTTTGAGTATCACTAGCCATTTACTGATAATCATGCTTGTATGTGACGTGTGTTCAATGCAACCTGGGCACAAGGGTGTGCCGGCAAATGTGTCCATTACTGTCTTCAATGATGGCATGTTAATTATTGATAAAAAGTGATGGTGGTGATTGTTGAATGATGGTGATTGTAGATGGAAGCACTAGTCAGTATGGGTGTGGGTGAACCCAGTTGCCCACTGCTCATGTTACTTGTATATATGTGTCTGTAATAATAACTATTAGGTGTATGGGTGCTGAGAAGGCTGGCAAAAACCTCAATGGATTGCCAGTGAAGAGAAGGTAGTGAGTGGGCACATGCAGAGAGTAAATGAAAAAGCCATGGACAAAAACTTTCAAAAAGCTTGGCACACCCTAGCAAAAGGGCTGTGTGCAAATTCTAGTCTCTTGTGCCATCAGGTGTTTCTTACTAGACGGGCCCATTCTGTTTTGGGCTGGTCTGAACCTGGCCATCGTGGCAGACAAACACGGATCAGCTGGTCAGGGAGAGAAAACCCATAAATGACAGCTGAGCAGAGCAGGCAAAGTTGTTCATGACGAAACTTTGTCTGCAGCGTAGACTTAGCTCAATTCCCAGCCATGTGAGGTACGATGAGATGTACGCATGGCCCGTGTGCTTCTGCTTACAGGTTCTGCCATGTTTGTTGGGCTGCTTGTATAATTAGTAGAGACTATTGTAATTACACACAGCCCTTGAAAAAGAGCCTTTACCTTCCAATCGTTTGTACACTTGTTGTTATATTCTATTAACTTCAGGTTGCATTTTGTCTATTGTTTGTAGTATGTACAGAACCAGTAAGGTATTATTTTTATTCATTATCATTACTTTTATGGACTGGAAAGAATGTGTTGACAAGTAATTATCAATGATGTGTATTCAAAAAGACTTGTACTAAGGTTTAAAGAAACTGAAAACCCCGTATGTACCAAAGTATAACTTGACTTTATTTTTGAAGTGGCCGATATGTTGCACGCGGCAGCAGTGGGCGGGAAGGCAACCACAATGCCACCCTACCTGCCACCTTGCCCTGGTTTATAGCTTTTAGTCTTGCCTCCCGCCTTGCCCGCCCTGGGTCTTCCCCTGGCCCTGGGGGGCATGGCGGCTTAGGCCCCAGGGCATCAGTGGCATGGGGGGGCCAAGGCCCCAGTCTCCCCCCTGAAGGACCCCGGCCCCTCCCTGGCCTGTTGTTATTGACGGGATGTCGCCATTTCTAGCCAAGAAATGGCTACAATTGACAACATCTTGCCTTGCCTTCTTCCTACTGCCTAACCATCACTCAGCGGTGACTGGTTGGACATAGGTGTGTGGGCAGAAGATGGCATAACCTTAAGGTCAACAAACCCACTTCTGCCTACACCACCGCCCGTCTTCCGCGTTGCTTCACCCACACCAACTCGGCTCACTACTATCTACTAAGCTTCAGATTAAAAGAATAAGGAGGGATTTGTGTTTTAAGAATAAATATTTATTGAAATGAAGAGTAATTCTTTTTCCTTTATACAAGCAAGTTTAAGTTTTATTAATGTTGATTTCGTTTGAGATTAGACATTAAGAAAAGTCATATTTTTGTCATGTCAGTGAACCAAGCCATGTTGAGACTAACTTTCTTAAAAAAAAAAAAAAAAAAAAAAAAAAAAAAATGCACTATATACAACATGTTGGACAACCTCTTATAATTGAAATTTTACATTAAGGAGTTGGCCTTGAATCAAACCTGATTACTCTATCTCCTCCATTCCCTAGGCACAATATTACTCGTGCGAGTTTAAAGTTTCCCAGCGAATATAATACACGTATTTGAAAAGATGACAACAAAAGCCTCAAGATCACCCTGTTAAAATCCCTTTCTAGACAGTTTCCTTCTACAAACTCAAAACTTTTCTTGGCTGCATTTTCCTAACTAAGATTCTAGTAGCAATCTTATCTACCAAAGCTATTGCACTACTTGAGTACATTTGGCAAAAGAAACACGGGGAATGCTTTGATGCTTGTGAAGGGCTGTTAAACTAAGGATTTGGAGTTACCCTTTGAAGTGACTGGTACCTCCCATTCCCTAAGCACACCATCCATTTTGTAGATTTAGACAAAAATTATTATGATCAAAAAGAAGCGCTAAGCCACAAGGGCTATACAGTGCTGCAGGGTAGGAAAGGAAGCAAGGGTATTGGGCGGCAGAAGGGGGTAGGGGCGATCAGTAGGTTACAGAAAACAGCAGGGCAGGGGATAGTGCAGGGTAGAGGGTAGCAAGAGATCGAGGTAGAAAGAGCTGAAGGTATCATCAGAGTTGCGAAGTAAGTCAGTTGTTGTCAAAAAGTCAATGAGAGAGTCTGGATGAAAGGTGGGTCCATCAGCGAGAAGGGAAGGTAAAGAGAGAGGAGTGGAGCGAAGACGACGACGGAGGTAAATTCTGCGTGCTCGTTGATAAAGTGGGCAGTCTAACAGAATGTGGCTGACCGATAATGGAACTTGTCAATTCTCACAGAGGAGCAGGGCGCCTCTCCATGAGATATCCATGAGTAAGACGAGTATGGCCAATGCGGAGACGGGAGAGAGTAGTCTCCCAACCTCGGCACTGGTGACAAGAAGACGGCCAGTAACCTATACTCGGTTTAATAGATTGAAGTTTGTTACCGAGTAGGGTAGACCAACGTTGTTGCCAACGGGTGTGAAGGTGGGTAGCTATTGCAGCAAAGTAGTCCGTAGATGGAACACCTCTATATGAAACTGGTAGGTCATATACTGCTGACCGCGCAACAGTGTCTGCCTGTTCATTGCCCTGTACGTCAACATGACCAGGGACCCAACAAAAAACATCTTTATGCTTGGTAGAGATGCGTAGCCAAAGTTGGATACGGAGGACTAAGGGGGGAGGTGTATAAAATTTCTGTATAGCCTGTAAAGCACTAAGGGAGTCTGAGACAACCACAAATGATGACACAGGCATAGATGCAATACAGATAAGTGCTGCAAGAATGGCATACAATTCAGCAGTAAAGATACTAGCCGAAGATAGTGAATGCCCTCGTACGACGCTGTCCGGAAACACTGCTGCGAATCCTACTCCGTCAGAAGACTTAAAGCCATCTGTGTACACTGCAATGGCATGAGAATGAGAGTGGAAGTGGTCAAGAAAGAGAGCGGGAAGCTACCACAGATAGTTGGGCTTTCGAGCAAGGGAATGAGAATGAACAGACTCGAACAGCTGGAACTTCCCAGGGGGGTAGGGAAAAGTGGGATGCTACATGAACATAGAAAGGTGGAAATTGAAGAGAAGACGAGCGAATGTAGGCAAAGAGAGAAGGGACGGAGGAAACGGGTGGCGAACAAATAAAGTATGTCTACTAATATCGGTGACCATTCTATAAATGGAAGGATTGCGGATTTCATGAGAACGTACATAGTAGCGAAGGCAATGGGCATCATGGCGATCGGATAAGGATGGAACGTTCGCTTCTGCATAGAGGCTCTCAAAGGGGGAAGAGCGAAAAGCACCAAAGCATAAACGTAATCCTTGGTGATGAATAGGGTTGAGGCTAGATAGAGTAGCAGGAGAGGCAGCTGAATAGATCTGGTCACCATAATCAAGTTTTGATAAAATGAGGGTAGAATGTAGGCGAAGGAGAGTTCGACGGTCAGCTCCCCATGAAAGATGAGCAAGGGTTTTAAGAAGATTCAGCCGGCTGTGACAAGTTGTCTTCAAAAAGGTAATGTGAGGTTTCCAGGATGACCTACAGTCAAAGAGGAGGCCTAGAAACCTGACTGTATCACGTTTAGGGATACGGGTGCCATAGAGGTATAAAGGATAATCGGAGATGACAGAGCGTCTAATGAAAGTAATTTGGTGAGTTTTGGTACTGGAAAATTTAAACCCATGTGTGGTGGCCCAATTGGAAACACGGTCGACCGCATGCTGGAGAGAAACGGGAATGAGGTGACAGCGCCTACACAGGCAATAGCGAAGTCATCAACATAGAGTGATGACCAAATATTGGATGGAAGACTAGAGGCCAAATCATTTATAGCAAGGAGAAAAAGTGTTGTGCTCAGAACACATCCCTGGGGGACACCTTCAGCTTGGATAAAGTCCAGGGAGAGCACATTATTAACCCGAACACGGAAATGTCTGTCAGTTAAAAAGTTCTTAAGGAAGGGTGGTAGATTGCCTCGAAGGCCTAAGGAGTGGGCTTGGGCCAAAATATTATACCTCCAAGTTGTGTCATATGCCTTCTCAAGGTCAAAAAATATGGCAATAACTGAGTGGTTATTCGCAAAGGCATTACGAACATACGTATCCAAGCGTAGTAAGGGGTCTATGGTAGAACGACCCTTACGAAAGCCATATTGACAAGTGGAGAGACTGTTGTCTCTCTAAATACCACGCTAAACATCTATTTACCAGGCGTTCCATCACTTTGCAAACTGCACTGGTAAGAGCAATGGGACAATAGTGGGAGGCTTCACGTCCCGTAGTACCCAGTTTGCAGAAAGGGAGAACAATGGCAGATTTCCACAGCTGTGGAAGAACTCCTTGTGACCAAAGAAGATTGAAAAGGCGTAATAGGACTGCAAGGGCTGAAAGTTGTAAATGTTGTAGGATACGAATGTGAATGTCGTCAGGCCCAGTTGCCGATGATCGGCAAGCTGAGAGTGTTGCCTCCAGTTCCTGAAGTGTAAAAGGCACATTATACTGTTCTTCTCTGAGAGAAGAAGAGTCCAAGGGTGCTAACTCTCTGGCAGACTTTGAGGAAAGAAACGAGGGGCATAGATGGAGCCCCTGAGAAATACGGACCAGATGATTGCCAATTTCATTGGCAACATTGCTGTATAGCCCTTGTGGCTTAGCGCTTCTTTTTTTTTATTATAATAATAATAAATTGGCAACATCTAGTGGGTTTGCTATATCAACACCGGCAACCTGCAGAACAGGAGCCGGGTCAGGAGAACATTTACCACCCAGTTTTCGTACTTTTTTCCAGACTGCACTCATAGAGGAAGCAGAGGTGATGGTGGAGACATAATCTCGCCAGGAAGTTCATTTAGCGTCACAGATGACACGGGGAGCGATCGCACGCTTCTGCTTAAAATCAAGAAGTCTCTCCGTGGTTCTATTGTACCGGTACCTGCCCCATGCAGTGCGTTTCAAACGTACTGCACGAACACAAGCAGGAGACCAAGGCACGCATTTCTGAGAATGCCTGCCCGAAGTTTGGGGTATAGAATGAGAAGCTGCGGTTAAAATGGAGGACGAGAAGAGGTGTAAAAGCTCATCAATGGAGGATGAAGAAGGAACCTCACTAAAAACAGTTAGTTGTGAGTAAAGGTTCCAATTTGGGCCCGATCAAATTGCCAGCGTGGGTTACGAAGAGGGTGTGAAATTTAAGGGGAAGTAAGAATGATTGGGAAATGATTGCTGTCATGTAAATCCGGGAGAACAGACCAGGTGAAGTCCAATGCGGCGGAGGAAGAGCAGACTGAGAGATGGATGCGAGAGAGAGTATGAGTCTGAGGATCAAAATGGGTGTGAGTACCTGTATTTAAAACATGGAGGGGGTGGGTAGCAAGAAAAGCCTCTAACTGAATGCCACGGGAATCACAGTGAGACCCCCCCCAGAGGAAATGATGGGCATTAAAATCGCCAAGTAACAGAAGTGGTGGCGGTAATGTCGAAACAAGAAAGGCAATATCCGGGATAGATAATGCCCGAGAAGGAGAGAGAGACAAAGAACAGAGTGTATACCACCTATGCAAGTGGATACGGGCTGCTGTGTAATGCAGAGAAGTACGAACAAATAGCTGATGGTATGGAATATCAGTGCGTAGACGAAGGGCACTTTCATTAAAGGTCCCATCAGGAAAAGGATCTGAAGAATACAATAAATTATAGCCTGAGATGGGATAGATAACGGCAGAGTGTAATTTTGGTTCCAGTAAGCATACACCAACGGGAAAACTGGGAGAGCAACATCTGAAGCTCACCCCGATTACCCCTGAGGCCGTGAACATTCCACTGTAAATAGGCCATGATTGGCAACGATAAAGATACCTGAAATCCACAGGTAAGGGCACCTACGGACTAGAAGGGTTAGGAAAGTCCACGCACGGTGGTAAAGAAAAACGTTCAAGTAGCGAAGGAACGGTGCGTTGTGAAGAAAGGAGTTGTGCAGATGGAGAAGAGGAAAGAGAAGGAACAGAGGGTGGATCAGTGTCCATTGATGGTTTGGTCTCTGCAATATATTCAGAGATTGCTTCAAGTGTTTCGGAGTTCAGAGACATCATATGGGAGACAATATTGGAGATGGAAGGAGGAGGAGTTTGAGTAAAGATCGGAGCTGTAATGGACTGTACCAGGCAGGGGGGGGGGGCCAAAAAGGGTGGAGGGAACTGGAAAAGTGTGGAGGGGACAGAAGAGGCAGAAACCCGGGAGGTGGCAGAAGAGGAAGAAACTTGGGAGGGGACAGGGGAGGAAGGCACAGTACGA